ATACCGGATGTTGAACTACCATCACTAAATGTAAAATCTCCCAAAAGAGAAGGCAAATTAACTGCGAAATTGCCAGATGTTCAATTGCAATCAGTAGACGTCAAACTACCTGACGTTGAACTACCATCACTAAATGTAAAAACTCCCAAAGGACAAGGCAAATTAACTGCGAAATTGCCAGAGGTTACATTGCCAACAGTAGACGTCAAATTACCTGAGGTTGAAACACCATCACTAAATTTAAAATCTCCCAAAGGAGAAGGCAAATTAACTGCGAAATTGCCAGAGGTTACATTGCCATCAGTAGAAGTCAAACTACCTGACGTTGAACTACCATCACTAAATTTAAAATCTCCCAAAGGAGAAGGCAAATTAACTGCCAAATTGCCAGATGTTCAATTGCAATCAGTAGACGTCAAATTACCTGACGTTGAACTACAATCACTAAATATAAAATCTTTCAAAGGAGAAGGCAAATTAACTGCCAAAGTGCCAGAGGTTACATTGCCATCAGTAGACGTCAAACTACCTGACGTTGAACTACCATCACTAAATTTAAAATCTCCTAAAGGAGAAGGCAAATTAACTGCGAAAATGCCAGAGGTTACATTGCCATCAGTAGAAGTCAAACTACCTGACGTTGAACTACCATCACTAAATTTAAAATCTCCCAAAGGAGAAGGCAAATTAACTGCGAAATTGCCAGATGTTCAATTGCAATCAGTAGACGTCAAATTACCTGACGTTGAACTACCATCACTAAATATAAAATCTCCCAAAGGAGAAGGCAAATTAACTGCCAAAGTACCAGAAGTTACATTGCCATCAGTAGACGTCAAACTACCAGACGTTGAACTACACTCACTAAATGTAAAATCTCCTAAAGTAGACGGCAAATTAACTGCGAAATTGCCAGATGTTACATTGCCAACAGTAGACGTCAAATTACCAAATGTTGAACTACCATCACTAAATTTAAAATCTCCCAAAGGACAAGGCAAGTCATTTATTGGAAAACTTATAGGTAAATCAAAAAAAGGTGTAGTTAGTAAATTTCCGGAAAAAGACTTAGTGTCCAAGACAGAATTATCAATGTTTTTGGAAAATGAGAGAGAATCAGTCGAAGGCCTTAAGGCACAAGATGTACAAATTCCGAATATAGAATTACCTGAATTGGACATTATAATGACCCGTAAGGACATAAGTTTACCAGACGTTGAATTGCAATCAATAGACGTTAAATTGCCGAACGTTGAAGTTGCATCGCTAAATGTAAAATCTCCTAAAGTAGACAGCAAAGTAGACATTACGATACCTGACATTGAACTACCATCACTAAATATAAAATCTCCCAAAGGAGAAGGCAAATTAACTGCGAAATTGCCAGATGTTGAATTGCAATCAGTAGACGTCAAACTACCGGATGTTGAACTACCATCACTAAATGTAAAATCTCCCAAAGGTCAAGGCAAATTAACTGCGAAAATGACAGAAATTACATTGCCATCAGTAGAAGACAAACTACCTGACGTTGAACTACCATCACTAAATTTAAAATCTCCCAAAGGAGAAGGCAAATTAACTGCGAAATTGCCAGATGTTCAATTGCAATCAGTAGACGTCAAATTACCTGACGTTGAACTACCATCACTAAATTTAAAATCTCCCAAAGGAGAAGGCAAATTAACTGCCAAAATGCCAGAGGTTACATTGCCATCAGTAGAAGTCAAACTACCTGATGTTGAACTACCATCACTAAATTTAAAATCTCCCAAAGGACAAGGCAAGTCATTTATTGGAAAACTTATAGGTAAATCAAAAAAAGGTGTAGTTAGTAAATTTCCGGAAAAAGACTTAGTGTCCAAGACAGAATTATCAATGTTTTTGGAAAATGAGAGAGAATCAGTCGAAGGCCTTAAGGCACAAGATGTACAAATTCCGAATATAGAATTACCTGAATTGGACATTATAATGACCCGTAAGGACATAAGTTTACCAGACGTTGAATTGCAATCAATAGACGTTAAATTGCCGAACGTTGAAGTTGCATCGCTAAATGTAAAATCTCCTAAAGTAGACAGCAAAGTAGACATTACGATACCTGACATTGAACTACCATCACTAAATATAAAATCTCCCAAAGAAGAAGGCAAATTAACTGCGAAATTGCCAGATGTTGAATTGCAATCAGTAGACGTCAAACTACCGAATGTTGAACTACCATCACTAAATGTAAAATCTCCCAAAGGTCAAGGCAAATTAAATGCGAAATTGCCAGAGGTTACATTGCCATCAGTAGACGTCAAACTACCTGACGTTGAACTACCATCACTAAATGTAAAATCTCCCAAAGGAAAAGGCAAATTAACTGCCAAATTGCCAGATGTTCAATTGCAATCAGTAGACGTCAAATTACATGACATTGAACTACCATCACTAAATATAAAATCTCCCAAAGGAGAAGGCAAATTAACTGCGAAATTGCCAGATGTTCAATTGCAATCAGTAGACGTCAAACTACCTGACGTTGAACTACCATCACTAAATTTAAAATCTCCCAAAGGAGAAGGCAAATTAACTGCGAAATTGCCAGAGGTTACATTGCCATCAGTAGACGTCAAACTACCAGACGTTGAACTACACTCACTAAATGTAAAATCTCCTAAAGTAGATGGCAAAGTAGACATTACGATACCGGATGTTGAACTACCATCACAAAATGTAAAATCTCACAAAAAGGAAGGCAAATTATCTGCGAAATTGCCAGAGGTTACATTGCCATCAGTAGACGTCAAACTACCTGACGTTGAACTACCATCACTAAATTTAAAATCTCCCAAAGGAGAAGGCAAATTAACTGCGAAAGTGCCAGAGGTTACATTGCCATCAGTAGACGTCAAACTACCTGACGTTGAACTACCATCACTAAATTTAAAATCTCCCAAAGGAGAAGGCAAATTAACTGCCAAAGTGCCAGAGGTTACATTGCCATCAGTAGACGTCAAACTACCTGACGTTGAACTACCATCACTAAATTTAAAATCTCCCAAAGGAGAAGGCAAATTAACTGCGAAAGTGCCAGAGGTTACATTGCCATCAGTAGACGTCAAACTACCTGACGTTGAACTACCATCACTAAATTTAAAATCTCCCAAAGGAGAAGGCAAATTAACTGCGAAAGTGCCAGAGGTTACATTGCCATCAGTAGACGTCAAACTACCTGACGTTGAACTACCATCACTAAATTTAAAATCTCCCAAAGGAGAAGGCAAATTAACTGCGAAAGTGCCAGAGGTTACATTGCCATCAGTAGACGTCAAACTACCTGACGTTGAACTACCATCACTAAATTTAAAATCTCCCAAAGGAGAAGGCAAATTAACTGCGAAAGTGCCAGAGGTTACATTGCCATCAGTAGACGTCAAACTACCTGACGTTGAACTACCATCACTAAATTTAAAATCTCCTAAAGGAGAAGGCAAATTAACTGCGAAAATGCCAGAGGTTACATTGCCATCAGTAGAAGTCAAACTACCTGACGTTGAACTACCATCACTAAATGTAAAATCTCCCAAAGGAGAAGGCAAATTAACTGCGAAATTGCCAGATGTTCAATTGCAATCAGTAGACGTCAAATTACCTGACGTTGAACTACCATCACTAAATGTAAAATCTCCTAAAGTAGACTGCAAAGTAGACATTACGATACCGGATGTTGAACTACCATCACTAAATGTAAAATCTCCCAAAAGAGAAGACAAATTAACTGCGAAATTGCCAGAGGTTACATTGCCAACAGTAGACGTCAAATTACCTGAGGTTGAATCACCATCACTAAATTTAAAATCTTCCATAGGAGAAGGCAAATTAACTGCGAAATTATCAGATGTTGAATTGCAATCAGTAGACGTCAAATTACCTGACGTTGAACTACCTTCACTAAATGTAAAATCTCCCAAAGGAGAAGGCAAATTAACTGCGAAATTGCCAGATGTTGAATTGCAATCAGTAGACGTCAAACTACCTGACGTTGAACTACCATCGCTAAATGTAAAATCTCCCAAAGGAGAATGCAAAGAGGCTATAATTTTTCCAGACGTCGAATTGCTTTCATTGTGCACTAAATTACCTGATATTGAAATGTCCAAGCAGCAATGTCATTTCGATAATACAATTCCAGAAGTTGAATTGCCGTTAATGAATGTAATAGCGTCTAAAGGAAATGACACAATATTGCCAGAGGTTGATTTTTCATCGGTAGACGAGAATGCAACTATTTTACAACTACCAAATATTGTATGTCTTTATCAGTGGGTTGATTCAAAACCATATGTTGATTTAACTCCTTTACGTAATTCCTTTAATAATATCCTTTTATGCTACAATAAAGATCCAATTTCTTCTCATTTCACTACTACTTTCATTTTATTTTATGAGGAAGTTATGGAAATATTAGATATTTTATCATCTAATTTTATTTTAAAGGTTAGTATTGTGTATTTAATTTTTAAATTATTATTATTATTATTACTCAATTATTTTTCTTTTTGGTTTTTTTTTCTACAAATGAGGCTTAATTATGGTTTTATTGTCAAATTTATAATTGAATTATATAAATCAATTTTTTTTACTCTTTTATGACTTATTCTTATCATTCTTTATATTTGTTTAAAATATAAAAAATTAATATTTTTAAATTTTGCTGTTTATTTTCTATACTCGTATGGCTAATGCATATATAATTCCTTTTATATATATATATTTTTTTTTGTTTTAATACATTACTTTATCATTTACCATTTAATTTATTGGAAAATTATAATAATATTTAAAAAAATGTTGTGTGTCTTTATGTTATATGTTTATCTTTAACATATTAATCTAATAGATTGTGATTTGGCCAGAGTTTTTTTCATTACTAGAAATTTCTATGCCTATAAACAAAAAATATTTACATGAAAAATTCATCATGATTGTTAAGTTGAATAAATACATGAAACTTTAAATCTAATATAAGTATATAAATGATTAATGAATCACTCTGTATACTTTATCACTCACATTACTAATTTTAGTTATTTATTGTTGATTATAATAAAACTTTCTTTTAGCATTTTATATGTTTTCTTTTTTACATCTTAGTTGCTTAAAGTATTTATAACACTGAGTTGTAATTTAATGAATATTTATTTTCCTTTACATTGCTTATTATATTTTACACCCGTTTTAAATATTATGTGATTACAAATATTTCATACATTTTAGAATAATATAATTATTTTATATTACAGGATAATGAGACGATGAAAAATGATTCGTGTATCAATAAAGTTTTTGAAGAAATAGAATCCACAGTAGAAAATGCACTAACTATGACCCAAATTCCAGGCATTTCAAAAACCTCTTACTTGACTAATGATCAAAATAACATTAATATAAAAATGGAATACCTCCAACAAAAAATAATTGAAATAAAAAAACTTTATGGTACCAAAATACAATCCACTCAAAAATGTAATATAAACAAACGTTTTTCAATGATCGAAAATTGTTCCAAAAATATTGAAAATTACGAAATACAATTTAATCAATTAAAAAAAGAAAAACTTATTATAGAGGTAACGTGTTATTCATATTTTAAATAATTATTTAACTATATTTACTAGAATAGGTGAACTTTAATTTTACGTACATGTAATTTCGTAATGTAAGATATTTCATTTTTTCTCTCATAGTAAATTGTCAGTATATTACTTAAACGTATAGTATGTATTTTTAATTTATCATATCAATATCAAAACTGCAAATAACTAACATTTTATTAAGATATATTTTTGTACATTAATCTTAAATCAATTATTCATGTTTATATATAAGTTTTCCCGTTTTATTTGAATTAAAAATATTTTCAAAGTACAATCGAAAATGTAAATTCAATAATTCTATAAAATTTAATAGTTGTTTTATTTTATAGGAAAAATTTGACAAATGTAATTTACTGTTAGATTCTTTACAACAAGTTATAGAGGAAATACATGAAATTGTTTCTATATATAATCAAGCGAATGATTTTAATCATGATATATCCAAGGACATAAATAAACTATTAAAAACTGCTAAAAAATTAGAAAATGAATTGATAAATACCAATAAAATATTATTTATTGAACTGATGGNGAATTGATAAATACCAATAAAATATTAATTATTGAACTGATGGAGAAAAAAATGACGGATATAAATTCAAAGGAATTGAATCTGATTGACCAAAATCTAAATAATGAAAACAAAAATCGATTTGGCCAATTAATGATGGATGATGTTCCGGTAACTTAAATTATTTTTTATTTTATCCGTAACTATATTTAAATTTTAAATATATTTTAATACCATATTAAAATTTAAATTTCCAACAAATTTTAAAAACCAATTTTTGCGATTTATTAACTTTAAGATATAGACTTCATATGTTTTATAGCATTTTTACTTATAGTAATTGAAATTTAAGTTTAAGAAGTCCCTCTGATGTTCAAGCAGAACTAAGTCTTTTTATATTATTTTTGATTACTTGTCATCTTGGGATGTTTTCGACAATGCTTTTAGTGAATATTTATTTATTGTATTAAATTGAACATCACATGATTATTTTTTTAAGATAAGTTGCATAGTTTACAATGAACAAGTTGACACATATAAAAATATATAATAAATAATGTACAACAGTGCAAATATTATAATAGATTAATTAATTATTTGGTGTCTTACAAGTAATAGAATGTGTTTATTACGACGTACTTTATAACACTTTCATAACTTTAGTTTACTATTATGCACTCATATATATATTTTTTTTTAATTCACAACTGTGATTTTAAAGTAAGAACAGTTCTTCCAATACCAAAATATTACAAATTATTTCAGAAGCAAAATTGTTTATCAATTTTAAAAACTTTAATGA